GGTTTTTGTTTTTAGTGCTGTCTCTAAGCTTAGATGACCCCAGAGTAAACAGCTGAGCCCCACCTAAAGCAGCAGCCATTCATCTCCAGGGCTCCTTCAACTCTTCATTTACAGGGAGCACCTCATTGGGGTTCCCAGTGCCTATGGAAAAGGTTTGAGATGGTTAATTTGCCTAAGAGTTTAGGGGTAGAAAGTGTAACCTTATGCCCAAGTGTCTCCAGGGTCACTGTGCATGTGAGTTAGTGGACATATTTTAAAATGCAGATCCTGGATGAGTAGGTCTGGGTGAGACCTGAGACTGCATTTTTCACAAGCTTCGGGCAGATGCTGGTGTAGCCATTCCGAGGACCACACCTACCAGCAAGGCCTTATATACCACTGCGCTTAAGCGTAGACGTGCTGATGAGAGAGAGAGAGAGAGACGTAGGCATGAAGATCCTTACAGTGGATCCATTCAGAGCAATGATCATTATCAAGCAAACAAGGAGTCGTAAACCCCAAATACTTGTCTTGATTCACCTGCCAGCTCCCGTGCTGCCTTGCCCTTCCCAGTAGTTACGATGACACAGTGCAGTCTGCCCGTGTGTTCTCAGGTCACTTAACGTGTGTATCATTGTGTGTGGACTCACATGTCAAAGAAGTCATTCTGTTGTGGCAGGGGGCCCTGCAGAGGGCGATTTGGGCAAAGAGCCCATTTGTCTGTAACTAAAGAGACACGCACTAGTCCATTTCTCATTACTATAACAGATTGCCTGAGGCAGACTGCTTTAGAAAAACATACAAGAGGTTTACTTAGTTCACAGGTTGGGAGCTCAAAGTCCAAAGTATGGCACAGGCTCTTGCAAGGGTTTCCCTTGGCTGTGTCACTTCCTGGATGGCTTTCTTGTTGTCATGGTCCCAGGTGGGTACAGAGCCTCACAGGGCAGGAGCAGGGAGTGTGCATGTCCATGTCTGTGTGTCTGGTCTGTCTGACTTAGAGAAGCCACCAGGATTCAGTCATGGCTTCACCCTAATGACCACATCTAAACCAAATCCCACCTCTAGACACCAAAATCAGGGCAAGTCTCCACCCTCTTAACACCATTAACGTATGCCTTTAGGGATTAAATTCCTGCCTGATTCAGGGCAACAAACCGCATCCAAACTGTACAACCCTGAAAGCAGAGAGCCCACCGTTTTGTTCCCTTCTCCCTCCTCTTTTCCTTGGTTTTCCTACTCTACCAGGGCTGTGGTGATCTCCTCTGGCGCCCTCTGGTGGAAGATGCAGACAATCCCAGAACCCAGGGGGCTCAGAGCAGAGCAGCCTCCGGACTCCGAGAGCCCCTCTTCCTCCGTGTTGCTCTCATCAGTAGTCCCCGCCATAGACCCAGGAGGTGTTGAGCATTTTCTCAGTTTGGTCCAGGTCACTCTAGCTTCTGCATTAATCTCTAGGTCTTTGATAATAGCATTGCAATCTCTGGCAAAGGTGCTGCTTGTCAGTGCACAGCTTCCCGGAGAATCAGTTTGAATCTGCTTTAAGGAGGTTCTGTCCTGCCGGTTAACAGAAAACCAAGCCTGTTGGTCTTTAGAGCCAACCAGCCAGCATCTCTCAAATACGCAGCATACATCAATCCTCCTGAGACCAAACTCAGCATTCTTTTTCAAATGTACTAAAACTTGGTTCCTCAAGAAGTACCTTTGGAGGGGTTTTCTAGTTGTGTATATTGTGCATTCAATTGTACAGGCAATTTTACATTTGCATTGCTAATAGACCTCTTTCTGAATGTGTTTGACATTTTACTTGGCTTTAAAAGGACTTTTATGCTGCTGCTTTTTCTCTCCTAGAGCTGCCTTGAGCTAATTAACCTATTCCCTTACTGGCTGGGCTTGCTATATGCAAATGTTCTCATTTCACATTCTGACATATCACTCTTGCATGAACAGCCATGATGAAATCCCATGGGGTTGCGTTGGAGCAATGCTGTTGTAGAACCAGCAGGGGGCGCATGGAACAGTTCTCTTTGAGTGAGTGTTCCTTGCTGGTTGGTTTGGGAATGGGAGCTTCTTGGAGTCCCTTTCTGTAGACTGAGTCTTGAAACAAAGGTTAGTAGTGGTACTTTTAAGGCAGTCAAAAGGGGCATCTTTGGATGCTTTTGCAGTTTTAATTGTAATGAATTTGCAGGGTGTGCATTTTGCACTGTGCTCTTTCTAAAAGGCCGTTCGGAAGGCAGTTTGGGAGTTACAGAGGCCTGAGATCAGTGACTGGTATTACCCCTTGGACATTTGTAGATCTTCATGCCTTCAGCATTAGGTCTTTTTGCCTTATTTGTTGTTTCCATCTCTCTCTCTCTCTCTTTTTTCAGATTTATTTATGTATTTGAAAGGCAGAGTTACGGAGAGAGAGAAAGGGATACTCCATTTGCTGGTTCACTCACCAAATGGCCACAGTGGCTGGGGCTGAACCAGGCCCGCGCCAGGAGCCCACACCTCTGTTTGAGTCTCTCATGTGGGTGCAAGGGCACAAACACTTGGGCCATTTTTCGCTGCTTTCCCAGGCACATTAGCAGGGAGCTGGATTAGAAATGGAGCAGCCAGGACTTGAACCAGTGCTCAGATGGGATGCTGGCATTGTGAGCAGCAGAGTAACCTGCTGTGCCACAATGCCAACCCGTTTCCATCTTTAGATATGCCTCCTTATAGGAGGATTCCTTTTATTGGAATTCCTTTAAGGTTGAGATACAGATTTCTTTTTTAAAAAAAGATTTATTTACCTGTTTGAAAGTCAGAGTTACAGAAAGGGAGAAACAGAGACAGAGACAGATCTTCCATCCTCTGGTTCACCCTCACTGATAACCGCAACATTCATGGCTGGGCCAGGCCAAAGCCAGGAGCCAGGAGCTTCTTCCAGGTCTCCCACATGGGCAGCAAGGGCCCAAACATGTGGGCCATCTTCCACTTCTTTCCCCAGGCCATTAGCAGGGAGCTGGATCAGAAGTGGAGCAGCTGGGACATAAACCAGCTCTCATATAGGATGTAGGATTCCAGCATCACAGGTGGCAGCTTAACCCACTACACCACAACAACGGCTCCCAAGACACAAGATTTCTTTTTTTTTTTTAACGATTTATTTATTTTTTTGAAAGCAAGAGAGAGAGAAAGCTTCCATCTGCTGGTTCACTCCCCAAATGGCCACAATGGCTCCAACTGGGCCAGACCAAAGCCAGGAGTCAGGAGCTTGTCTGGGTCACCCACATGGGTACAATTGCCCAAGCATCTGGGCCATCTTCCACTGCTTTCCCAGGTACATTAGCAGGGACTGGATTGGACGTGGAGCAGCCAGGACTCAAACCAGCGCCCATATGGGATGCCATTACTTCAGGCACCAGCTTAACCCACTGCACCACAGCACCAGGCCTGAGACACACAATTTTTAGCCCTCATCTTCCTTCATGCATGGTCAGATTCATTAAGGCTGGGGAATCCTCTGTCATGTCATTTGTCATCTGTTGTGTCACTTGTCATTTGTTGTATCATTTCTTGGTGATACCCATTGATGACGGTGAAGCAAAATGAAAAAGAGTCAGTCAATCATTGACTGCCCCCAAAATGTCACCGATTAGGAAGAGGCAGTGTAAGCCTTATAGGAGGTACTTGGTTTTGGTGGTGCAAGAAGGGGTAGCAGAGGCGGAGAAGGGGGTGTGGCAGCAGGGATCTCACCATTGCGTCAGCGTAGACCGGGGTTGAATGCTGACGGATGCTGCATGTTTGTGTTTGTTTTAAAATCAGATCATAGAAAAGAGGGTCAGAGTGAGAGAACTGCCAGAACCAGGGGCCTGAGGTCTCCGATCCTATCCCAGAGCTCCCAGTATTACCACACAGGGCAGCACTGTGCTGCTGGGGCGGGGGGAACGCTCACTTCTGTGGCATGTTCAGTGGTCCCGTGTTGGCTCTGCTAACATTCCGTCTCGTGCCGGGTGGGCACCGGGTCACCTACCATTGGGATGACTTAGAGCTCAGAGGCCACTGAGAACCTGAGGCAAATGTCCCAGCGGTATGGGCTCCACCGTGTGCCCAGGTTTGCACACCCAGGTGTGATTCTTCTACAAGAAGTGCTGTCTTTAGCATCGGCGGCGAGTTGGCCTTTTGCAGGGAGAAAGGAGATGATGTGCAGAGAAAATACAGAGACAGCTTAGAAGGGAAGCAGGCAGGAGACAGGGACAAAGCAGGCGTGTAACCCTCAGGAAACTTGGAACGCGTCAGGCTTGTTATTGTTCTTGGCTTTTTAAACTGCAATCAAAAGTGCTTTGTAACCGTCTCACAGATTTCTTTTGGCGTTCTGTTGGCATCTGAGTGGCTATACTGGGCATTTTTAAAAACTTCTCGAGAGCAGAATTATTCTGGGCTGCCTCTCTTGAGTTGTGGTGTGTGTGTGTGTGTGTGTGTGTGTGTGTTAGGCAAGAGGGAATTACTGCTGAGTCCAGTGTGGACCGAGAGCCAGGTAGAACCCTCCAGGATTGTGGCTCTGGGACGTAACACCCAGGGACTGCGCGGGACGGCCCTGTGCAAGCCGCTCCTCCCTGGAGCCTGGCTCTTGAGGGCAGGGTCCAGCAGAGTCTCCCTGATGTCATTCTCCCTTGTGGGCTTCCAGCCAAGGGAAGAAGAGGTGAGGCCCGGAGCTGACGTTTCTGGAAGGGAAATTTGAGAAACGCATCATCTACCTTCTAAGAAGAAGGGGGAAAACCCCGAGAGGAGGAGAGAGAGGGTACTGAGAGTGTCGCAGGAGAGCTGACTCCATGCCAGAGTTTGTGCCGTGAGGCTACCCCTTGCTCATGTCCCCCCTCCCATTCCCTGTAATGCGAGGGCCATAATTGGGTTTTTGGAATTCATATTGAATCCCGAGGCTTAATCTTAATCTTGCTGAGAATGTTTTGTCCCAGTGCTGATATTTTGATGTCCTTTTCTTCCTTCCTCCCCTCCTCCTCTCCCCCACCCTTCTCACTCTTCCCTCGTCCTCTGCCCAGAATCCAGAGCTGCCGCTGGCCGAGTGCACCCACGGGGAGATGATTCCTCATGAAGAACCTGGATCCCCTACAGAAATCAAATGTGACTTTCCGTTTATCAGACTAAAATCCGAGCCAGCCAGCCAGTGAAGCAGTCACCGTGGAGGGAGGGCGGCGAAAGATGAAATCCACGCAGGAGCGGAGCAATGAATGCCTGCCTCCCAAGAAACGCGAGATCCCGGCCACCAGCCGGCCGTCCGAGGAGAAGGCTGCGGCGCCGCCCAGTGACAACCACAGGGCGGAGGCCGTGGCCTGGCTCCCTGGCAACCCTGGCGGCCGAGGCCACGGGGGCGGGAGGCACGGGCCGGCAGGGACCTCGGTGGAGCTCGGTTTACAGCAGGGAATAGGTTTACACAAAGCATTGTCCACTGGGCTGGACTACTCCCCACCCAGTGCTCCCAGGTCGGTCCCAGCGGCCACCACGCTGCCCGCGGCGTACCCTCCCCCGCAGTCAGGGACGCCCGTGTCCCCCGTGCAGTACGCTCACCTGCCACACACCTTCCAGTTCATCAGCTCCTCCCAGTACAGCGGCCCTTACGCCGGCTTCATCCCGTCACAGCTGATCTCCCCCACAGCCAACTCCGTCACCAGTGTGGTGGCCTCCGCGGCGGGCGCCACCGCCCCATCCCAGCGCTCCCAGCTGGAGGCCTACTCCACTCTGCTGTCCAACATGGGAGGGCTGAGCCAGGCCCCCCCGGGACACAAGGTTGAGCATCAGCAGCACCTGGGCAGGGCACCGGGGCTCGTCACCCCGGGGTCCCCGCCGCCCACCCAGCAGAACCAGTACGTCCACATTTCCAGTTCTCCGCAGAGCACCGGGCGCCCGGCCTCTCCTCCGCCCATCCCCGTCCACCTCCACCCCCATCCGACGATGATCCCACACACGCTCACCCTGGGGCCCTCCTCCCAGGTCGTCGTGCAATACACGGACTCCGGCAGCCACTTTGTCCCTCGGGAGTCCACCAAGAAGGCCGAGGGCGGCAGGCTGCAGCCGTCCATCCAGTCCAAGGAGGTCCTCAACGGGGAGATGGAGAAGAGCCGGCGGTACGGGGTTCCGTCCTCGGCCGACCTGGGCCTGGGCAAAGCCGGGGGCAAGGCGGTCGCTCACCCCTACGAGTCCAGGCACGTGGTGGTCCACCCCAGCCCCGCGGACTACAGCAGCCGAGATGCCCCAGGGGTGCGGGCCTCTGTGATGGCTCTGCCCAACAGCAGCACGCCCGCCACAGACCTGGAAGTGCAGCAGGCCACGCACCGCGAGGCTTCGCCCTCCACCCTCAACGACAAAGGCAACCTGCACCTGGGGAGGCCAGGCCACCGCTCCTACGCTCTGTCACCCCACACGGTCATTCAGACCACGCCCAGTGCTTCAGAGCCCCTCCCGGTCGGACTGCCCGCCACGGCCTTCTACGCAGGGACGCAGCCCCCAGTTATCGGCTACCTGAGCGGCCAGCAGCAAGCAATCACCTACGCCGGCAGCCTGCCGCAGCACCTGGTGATCCCCGGCACCCAGCCCCTGCTCATCCCGGTCGGCAGCACCGACATGGAGGCGTCGGGCGCAGCCTCTGCCATCGTCACCTCGTCGCCCCAGTTTGCTACAGTGCCCCCTCACACCTTCGTCACTACTGCCCTCCCCAAGAGCGAGAACTTCAGCCCCGAGGCCCTGGCCACCCCGGCCGCCTACCCGGCCATGGTGCAGGCCCAGATCCACCTGCCTGTGGTGCAGTCGGTGGCGTCCCCCGCGGCGGCTCCGCCCACGCTGCCCCCCTACTTCATGAAAGGTTCCATCATCCAGTTGGCCAACGGGGAGCTGAAGAAGGTGGAGGACTTGAAAACGGAAGACTTCATTCAGAGCGCGGAGATCAGCAACGACCTGAAGATCGACTCGAGCACTGTGGAGAGGATCGAGGACAGCCACAGCCCGGGCGTGGCTGTGATCCAGTTCGCAGTGGGGGAGCACCGAGCGCAGGTAACGTTCACCTGCTGCACAGGTAGGGGGCGCACCCCACCACGCCGCGTCGCCGTCTCTGGGCAACGGGAGTGGCTTCTTTTTTTTAATTATTATTTTTAAAAGGTTTTCTTTTATATTTATTTGAAAGGCACTGTGACAGAGAAAGAGAGCTTCCGTCTGCTGGTTCATTTCCCAGATGGCCATAACAGCCAGGGCTGGGCCAGGAGCTCCATCCAGGTCTCCCACATGGGTGGCAGGGGCCTGGGTACTTGGACCATCTTCTGCTGCTTTCCCAGGCATGTTAGCAGGGAGCTGGATCCAAAGTGGAGCAGCCAGGCCTCCAGTCGGTGTCCTGATATGGGATGCAGGTGGCGGCTTCAACTATTGCACCACAACTCGGGCCCTAAGAGTTGCTTCTGCGAGGCAGAGTTGAGGAGTCTCATTTCTGCCTAGACTGTAGAGCAGGCCTTTCCCAACTGTGTCCTCAAGGAAGTTAAGCCCTGCTTGCCCCTGGTATCTGTTGTTTGCAAGCAATGAAGCGCGCTGCCTCTGAGAGTAGGGATGATCCCATCCTGGGGAGAATTAAGAGATCACAACTCTCGACATCATTTGCGTTCTGTGGTTCTGTTGAGGAGCCCTGGCTGAGCAAGGCTGCGGGGCTGCAGGCTTTTCTAGCAGTCATCCTGCACTTGTCCCTATTAGGAGAAGACGGAGCTGCTTGTCTGGGCGAGGACATCGCAGGCAGAAGCCACCACGTCCATGTTCAAAATAGAGGAATGGCAGGGCCGGTCACAGAGATGACACTTGTTGAAAGGGAGGCTTGTTGTACATTCAGATTGCAGGAGTGGGGAGCTGGCCATGCCAGGAAGCAAGGCGAGCAGGAGGCGAACGTCGGCAATTGTGCCATTTCCGGGGGAGGGAGTAGGCGAGCCAGGAGAGCAGGCTTAGGATTGGCTGGCATGAGTAGCTTCAGTGGCTCTGGGACCGCTGGGGGCTGGCCCTGCTGTGAGGGAGCTGTCCCTGTGGTGGTGGGGGCAAGTGGCTTAGTGGCCCTGGGCATGATGGAAGCAACATAGGAGGTGGTGGCATCGGTCGATTTGTTTATGAAAAACACGCTGCCGGGTGAGTTGCTGGCTGTGTCTAGGAATAAACTAGTCCCGGGGGAGGCAGGCCCCCTGAGCTTAGCAGGGTCCCAAGATGTTAAAGCATCAGAAAATACCAGGCTGAAGCCAGGGCTGTGTCCAGCTGACTTCCTCAGCCCCGGTAAAGCCAGTTGCAGCCTTGCTGAGAGATGTTAGAAACTGGACGGGTGATTCACTCTTGATTTCCACGGGCTCCTTCAGCCAACCCTTTTGTCATCTCTCAAGTCACTTGCATAGCCCATTTTTGTGAATCAGCAGTTTCACCGCCCAAGTTTCTGGGAACCAAACAGACTTGGTCCCCAGCTGGGAAGTTCCGTGCCTGTGGAACCTCCGCTCTGGATATGTTGTCCACCCAGGACTATAGGACACTCAGAAATGACAGTGCCTCCTGCTGGCGTGGGTTGAAAACAGTTGGGGAAAAAACTGATATTTGGGACATTCAAAGAAAAAAATAACATAAAAACTGAGTAGAGTTTGAATGGCTTTGAGTATTTTTATTTAGTTAGTTTTAAAGATTTATTTATTTATTTGAAAGAGCAGCACAGATAGAGAAAGATTTTCTATCTCATAATTCACTCCCCAAATGCCCGCAAAAGCAGGGGCTGGGCCAGGCTGAAGCCAGGAGCCAGGAACTCCATCCAGGCCTTCCACGTGGGTGGCCCCAGAATTGCTTTGAATATTTTTTCAAAGATCAAATGAGGGAGGGCATAGACCAGCTTCCCCAAGTGTTTTCCAGAACTGTGATAATATTTTTTCAAAGATCAAATGAGGGAGGGCATAGACCAGCTTCCCCAAGTGTTTTCCAGAACTGTGAGAAGCACGGGCTGTCCGCTGTTAGGCAGCCTGCCCTGCTGAGGTCCTTTAGCCCCTTTTCTTTTCTTTTCTTTTCTTTTCTTTTTTTTTTCCTTTTTTTTTTTTTTTTTTTTTTTTTTGACAGGCAGAGTGGACAGTGAGAGAGACAGAAAGGTCTTCCTTTGCTGTTGGTTCACCCTCCAATGGCTGCCGCGGCTTGCGCTGATCTGATTAGCCCCTTTCTTAAGGGTGAGATATCACTGTAGCCTACAGTCTTTGGAAAGGCTCAAGAAAGAATTCTTCAGAATTCTGACGATGATGATGATGATAATAAAAAGAACAGGGCCAGTGTTGTGGTGCAGTGTTAGGCCGCCAGCTGCAGTGCCACCTTCCCATTTCAGAGTGCCAGTTCAAGTCCTGGTTGTACCAGTTCTGATCCAGCTCCTGGGAAAGCAAAAGAGGGCCCAAGTGCTTGGACCCCTGCCACGCACGTGAGAGACCCCAGGTGGAGTTCCCGGCTTCAGCCTGGCCCAACCCCATTGCAGACGTTCAGGGAATGAACTAGTGGATGGTCCATGGCTCCCTGTCTCAGTCTGTACCTCTTCCTCTCCTTCTCCTTTTCTCTCTCAGTGTCACTCTGCCTTTTAAAAATAAGAAGAAAACATAGGATTTTAAAAAAGGGCCTAATTATTCAGAACTCCCTACCTACCTGTACTTGCTGTGTACTTCCTACGGGATGTAGGGGTGAGTCCTAGTACAGAGAAAATGGGTAGCCTAGAGCGGGGTTCTCTCATGACAGACCCCAGGTGAACCATGGAAAATCACCAAGAGTGAGAAGGAAATGCATTCTTCATGGTGCCTTTAATCCTTGCAGCACGATGGCAAGCAGACAGGTGGGGAAGGGGGATTTGTTGTGCAGTGCAGCTGGTTCCTAGCAGTGCCTCTCCGCTTGGGACTTGACAGAGCCTTGAGCTGGGGCTGCCCGTCCCAGGCCTTGGCTGCTGAGGTTCTGGAGCCCCACAGCTCTCTTTGGTGCCAGGAGGGGAAGGATCTGAGCAGACTTCAGAAGGCTTGTGGAAAACGGGATGTAAAAGATAAGTGTATTTTGGTGCCCCCAAAATTTGAAATCTGTGCATAGATTCATAGTATGCATTTCCATGAATTTTTTAAAGATTTATTTATTTATCTGAGAGGCAGAGTTATGGGGCGAGATGGGGTGGATATACATGTATATCTCTATATATGTCTGTCTGTCTGTGTGTGTGTGTATATATATATATATAGAGAGAGAGAGAGAGAAAGAGAGAGAGAGAGAGAGAAAGAAAGATATCTTCCATCGTTGGTTAACTCCCCAATGGCTGCAATAGCCAGGGCTGGGCCAGGCCAAAGCCAGGAGCCTGCAACTCCATCTGTGTCTCCCACATGAGTGCAGGGACCCAAGGACTTGGGCCATCTTTCACTGCTTCTCCAGGCCATTGGCAGGCAGCTGGATCAGAAGTGGAGCAGGGCCGGCGCCGTGGCTCAATAGGCTAATCCTCCACCTTGCGGCGCCGGCACACCGGGTTCTAGTCCCGGTTGGGGCGCCGGATTCTGTCCCGGTTGCCCCTCTTCCAGGCCAGCTCTCTGCTATGGCCAGGGAGTGCAGTGGAGGATGGCCCAGGTGCTTGGGCCCTGCACCCCATGGGAGACCAGGAAAAGCACCTGGCTCCTGGCTCCTGCCAGGATCAGCGCGGTGCGCCGGCTGCAGCGGCGGCCATTGGAGGGTGAACCAACGGCAAAAGGAAGACCTTTCTCTCTCTGTCTCTCTCTCTCACTGTCCACTCTGCCTGTCAAAAAAAAAAAAAAAAAAAAAAAAGAAGTGGAGCAGCCAGGACTCAAACCTGCACCCATATGGGATGCCAGCATTGCAGGTTGGGGCCTAACCCACTGCACCACAATGCTGTCCCTTCCATAAACTTTTAAAAGATGAATCATTATGCGTGGATCTCAAAAATGTTTTGCACCTGAATAAACATCTCTTTAAATTCTGTTTTCCATAAATTTTTCAGAGTGCTCTTGTAGGTGTATTTTCTTCTGCTTAGAACTTTGCAAAATGTGTGCTTGAATGAGGGGGAATGTGGCTTCCAGGTGAGATTGGGGCCTGCTCTGATTTCTCACTTTTCTGACAGTCCACATACAGCTTAACAGGTGGAACATGGGTCATGGCTGGGGCAGCCCCTGTGTGGCCATGTGGCATGCTGGGAGCCGTTGGGGAGGGGCTTCTGCAGAGAAAGGCAAGAGGGGAGTGGCAGCTTGGGCTCTGTGCTGTAGAAGCAACGATTTGTCGCTTTCTCAGGAAGCCCATCAGAAAGCAGCTGACGTCACCACGGCTAAGACACTCCACCAGCTGTGCTTGCCGCCTGTAGCAACAGCTTCAGGATGAGTGGAGTCAGAGAGGGAGGATGGCGGGAGGATGAGGAAGAACCAGTCCCGGCGTTCATTGAAGCTGCTGCCCCCATCACCACCTCCCTGAAGGTTTTTTCCCCTCTAGGCCTAAAGACTCTTCCAGGTCTTCTCAGCTGGTTAGACACTGGTCACACAGGCACCCACTGGGAAATTTGGGAATGTGCAAATTGCTGACATTAATTAGCAAAGTCACAAATTGCGCTGGGGAGGCTGTGGAAGCAGGAGTGGTTTTCAACACAGCAGGTGGCTTTGTGACCCTAAGCCTACGCCCTCCACCGAAGGACAGCCACGAGGATGCCGACCTCATGAACCCTCCCCTGGCTGTGCTTGGTGAAAGCAGTGTTTTGTGTTGTTTCCCTCTGACCTGCAGTTTCTGTCATCTCTAAGAAAGGCAAATGATAGGAAGGTACTTGGAAAGAATGCATGGCAGACACATGTTATGAAAAAACAATGGGTTTCAAGCAATACTTGTGCCCAAATCAACTCTATCTTTTAATACCATTTGCCTGCAACCTTTTCGATGGCCCCTCCTCCAGGTTGCTATTCTGAGTCTCCTTAGTTTTTTAATTCTTCACTCTTCTCCCTTCCAGAACAGCCTTCATAAAATTCACTGGCGTGGGCTGACCAAAACTCAGGGAG